CCCCATGATCAAAAAACACAACAACAGGAGAACGGTACAACAGTGGACCACTGAGGGAACAGCTACTCGTCGGAACAATGGAACAATAGGAGGATCTAAATGCACCAATCACAGCCAACCTTTGTGATATAAATGATACTGTGCAATCAGTCGACCTTATCGCCTGAAGAAGACTAGCAGTAAGCAGTCGAAACGTCGTGATCTACATCTAAAGTGACTAGATCGTGTGACAAACGATAATACACTTTATTATGCAGAGGTTATTGTTTGAGAGATTTGCCAAGGAGGACAATGTAGAGATCTACAACCCTGTGGCACTGCTCAATCTAGTACAGATCTGTAATCGCGGAAACCTCAACTTCGCATTGCAGGACCTCTCTACACTCACCATCCTGGAGAGGTATGCAGACCAGATGTGCAGTTCTGTCAGCTACTACTTCTAGTGTGGTGGAGCAAGGCGGCAGCCCTTCAGCTCAAGAAATGAAATATGGGACAGCTGTGGCAGTAGTAGGAGGTAAGGCATACCTGCTGGACACATCAGATGGTGATGTGGGTATATTAAAATTCGTAGAGCTTTGAACTAAGCTCACCATATGCACATTGGTACAATATTTAATCATAACTGACACAATGACAAATTTCGGGTGATGGTGCACAGGACCCATGAGCTTGTGTCAAACCAGGGGGAGACAGACACACAAGTTGTGCTATACCTTGGTTATGCTGTCAAGCTTGGGTACAAGTCAGCTGTGGTAAGGACAACTGACACCGGCATTATTCGTTATCCTCCTACACTATGCTCACTCCATCCCACTCACCATTTACATGGATAATGAATCTGGAAAACATCGTCAAATTGTAAACATCAGTGAGCTATCAGAATCCAAGGGAGCTGACTACTGTACTACAAAGCTCGGTCTGTACGTATTCACCAGGGAAGATGTAATGAATGCGTTCAAGGGCAAGGGTTAAGAGGGACCACGGAAAAAGCTGCAAAACCATCCTACTGTATGTACCATGCTGCATTTAGGTGAGTGTCCTTTATATGACAGTTTTATCATAATGAATAGATCAGCATATATTAATACTTGAACAGCATGATTCTATAATGTTACCAGTGTTGTTATTGTTGTTGTTTTCGTTTAGAAAACTCGGTGATGAGTGGTCTGTAGATCAAGAAGTTACAGATGAACTTGAGACATTTATGTGTCTGAAGTATGGCCACGCCAGGAGAAGTCTGTTAATACTATACACAGCATTATGCTAAGGAAGATGGTAGGGGAGAACAAGGAACTCGCAACCAAATCCAAAGTGGATATCTCCGGGCTTCCACCTTGCAGAGACAGCCTTGTCCCACACATTGCCAGAGTGAATTACCGCCTTGCCTACTACAGTATTGTGCAAAAGTAATGAGAGCATAATTCGAAGAAATTCACGAATTTCAGGGCTTTTTGACGAAAAATGGCGAAGTTTTGTTCACCTCGAAAGTTCGAGGAATTTTCCCACTGGCCATTGTTTTAGTCATGACAAATTTTCCAGCGGTAATTCGTTTCTACCGATAATTTGGTCCGATTTTTCGAGCAAAAATTTGCTCTTGAATTTTCCTTCGAACTTACTAACAAAAATTTGCTCTGTTTGTTAAGTTTCCCGTCGATTGCTAGTAGTAAGATGAATTAGGCCAGTGCAAAACAAGAACATGCGCGATAAAAACCTTAATATCATCATGAGGGATAGTAATATCTGAAAGCCTTTTCTCACAAACTTACCTTGCTTATGTCCAGAGAAAGTTAATATCACTTTGTTTGTTACAGTCTTAAACTGGCAAGCTCAAATGGTCTGTTTGCCAACTTGTTTTCATTGAACAAGAAATGCTACTCGCAGTAGTACTCACGGTGCAGCCACAATGAACCCAGGCCCTGCGCGACCTTGCGGTTGTTTATATGTTACCATAGTGAAATTAAAAGTCATGTGTTAGCTTTGGTCAGTTCAGCTTCCAAGCTATCACAGTTAGCCATGCCTAAAGTGTCAACTTACACAAGAACTCGAGTTGAGCTTCTTCAAAAGGAAGGCCTCCACCCAGCTGAGATATTTAAGGTCTTAAAACATGAAGGTTTAAGCGTCAGCTTTCCAAGTGTGGCACATATCGTAAAGAAGCTACAGACCACTGGCAGTCTGGCCAATTTACCGCGCTCAGGAAGACCATCAAAGTTGTCTACAGAAGCAAAAGCTTTTATAGACCAACAAATGCGCAAGGACGACGAAATGACGAGAGGCCAGATACAAAAGAAGCTGGAAAAGCGTGGCATTACCATGAGCTCATCCACGGTGCGACGATCTGGCAAGGAACAAGGCTGTACATTACAGCGAACCGCCTATTGTCAAATGAGCTCACAAGGCGATCGTTTGGGGCCCAGTCCATAGAATCCTGGCCAGAGGTGGCAAAAGACTGAGGAAAGTGTCTTAGAGCCTGTTTGGTCATGCAGTCCTGTACTATGCCCTTCCCTTATTGACTTGCTAGAGAAAACTGCTGAGGAGGGGGAGGAGGTTGGGGAAGAGGAACAGGGACAAGTTGATTATGAAGAGCTTCTTATTGATGATGAGTAGATACATTTAAACAGTGGCACAATTAATTGTTCCTGTGCTGCTTAACCTGTCACACACTACATGTACATTAAAAAAATATTTAGAGGTAGAAAATCAGGGAAAATGGAAATATTTTTTTGATCTTGAGCTAGAGAGACATGGAGGCTCAATAGCACTCACTAGTAACCTAAACAAGAAAGACACCATAGAGAATCTCAAGATTAAAAACTGCTTTATAAAGGAGACTCTGTTAAGCTGGGCAGAAGTCAATTTTGATGAACACATGATGTCCGAGAAACAATTTCTTGAACAAATTTTATGGAACAACTCACTCGTAAAACTGATAACTGCCCTATCATCAATCAAGAATGGTTTGACAGGGGCGTCAGGAAAGTGAAACATTTGAAAGATGCCTCTGACAATTTTTTATCATTAGCTGAAATGCAGCACAAATACAGCCTTAATATTTGCCCTCTAAAGTATTACGGACTTCTGTCTGCTCTGAAATCTCTTTGGAATACATGTAAAAACAACTTTATCAGCAATTGTGACCATGAAAGCTTTGTGGANTAATATTTGCCCTCTAAAGTATTACGGACTTCTGTCTGCTCTGAAATCTCTTTGGAATACATGTAAAAACAACTTTATCAGCAATTGTGACCATGAAAGCTTTGTGGAAAAATTAACAAAATGCCAAAGTGCGAACAAACTGGTTTACACTAAACTGATTTCTGCAAAATGCATGTGCCCGGCCATAATCAACGGAAATGGCTAAAAGACGTAACCACCAGAATGATGTTGATTCAATTAACTGGCGGGATGCCTACCAGCTAGCCTCTAAATACACTAAAAGTACGAGGATTCTTGAATTCCAGTACAAATTCTTACAGAGACAAATAGCAACAAATGACTTCTTAACACAAATTGGAGTACATGTAATAGACAACCCAAACTGCTCCTTTTGTAATGAAGAACTGGAGAAACTACTTCATCTCTTTTGGTCTTGTCCTAATGTGGTCTCTTTCTGGCATGAGTTAATGTAAGGCTAACTTTGCTCTACATTACTCCCAAACATTACGCAAATTATACATGTAGATCCAATTGTCTCTCTCAGTTTAAAGCCGAATTCTTCCAAGAACCACCAGCAAATTAATTTTTCCTGCCTCCTAGCCAAGAATTTTATCTGGATGAGCAAAAGAAAAGAAACCGCATCAAAGGTAGAAGGTTTCCTACAATATTTGAAATCAATTTACAATATGGAGGCCATTGCAGAAAGTGCTCTTCCCAAAAAGTGGAAATTTTTGAGCACATCATTCTAGTAAGCCTTGTTTTTCAGCTATCAGTGTATCTTGATCCACTGCACATTTTGTCTGTATTTGACTTTGGGTACATTTGCTCCACAATCACTGCCTTTTAAGAAATAAAAACACAGAGTGCTTTGTATATATAAGTAGCGTATTATAACTAGTGTTTTTTTCTTTTTGCAAGTAGCATTTTCTTAATTGTAATTGTCAGTAGTGTATGTTTTAACATGTAGAATTGCTTTTTTTGCTTTACTTATTGATCTTTATCAAAATGTGTATTGCAATTGCAAGTAATTAATTATAGGTTATGTGCAGTTTGTAGGTTATTGCAATAGACTAATTTGTAATGCTGTGTTTATAAGTAATAGTAAAAAAAAATAAGTAAATAAGTAGTGTAAGTTATTGCATTGTTTTATACAGTACAGCCCAAAAATAATGCATGCGCAAGAACTTCTTTTTGCGTCCGCAAGCCATCAACTTCTTGCAGCTTCTTGCGGGTCGCTTGTGCTCGGATCCTGCAAGATGCAAGAACTTCTGTGCAGTTAGGAGTTAAAACCAAAAGAACTTCTTTGCAGTTGGATTTTCGATACGCAAAAACTTCTTTGCGGTAGGATTTTCAACCCCCAAGAACTTCTTTGCGCTAACATCTTAGCACGCGAAAATGCGTATCAAGACAGTACTGTCTTGGTGACGGGTTCTAAAAAACACAACTAACAGACACAACAAAAACCACAGAACTAGTGCCACACTTACTGTAAGAAGCATTAAAACGACAAATTCTTAACTATTGACAATTTGAACTCTAAAGTTCAGTTCAGAAAACGAACTTTTCATGAGTCTAACTTAATTTGCATTTGGACCGATCCCCGGGAACGGCCAAAGAAAAAGTAATGAACAGATGCGCGTTTGATGAAACTTCGAATTCGTTGATCGGCATGAGCTGCTGTTTACATGTTCTACAAAGCTGTATTTCAATCCGTCAAAACGTAAACAAATATAACAGAAGAAGAAGTTGATTCTCAGCCGTACCGACTAACAAACAAATCATCGACCTTACTACGTATACGGGTACCGTTACACAAGAGATCTTGGGAAGCTTCTTAATGATGTGATTAATATTATAAGTTCTAAAGTGTAAGCCATATAAAGTCTAAATGCTGTTGAGGTCGTCCTTGGAGAGAGTTTTCATTCACGAATAAATCAGTCGGTAGATTTTATCACCGACAGTAGGAAGATTTTGGTCACATGCTAAGCAACCTGTTGATTGAGAGTGTACAGATTGAGACAAAGATAAGGCCTTTGCCTTTTTGTTGGGTTATAATAAATTTATTTTCATCAGTTTAGTAACAGTACATTTTTTATCGCTTGGTTCTGAATTAGATATTGGGTTCACTTTGTTTTGCTTTTCGGCGACATGGAGGAAATTTTACTGTTTACAATTATTATTATGATGTGTCCCAGAGTCCCGGACCCGCGGTGTGATAGCGGCACGAAATGAGCTTATTTGAAATGGCTTTTTCTGTCCAGAACAAAGGTTAAAAAAAACACATATTTACTGGGAAGTAGCTTCCAAGTGTAACCCAAATTTTGAAACAAGCAAGTTTCTCAGTCAGCGAAAACAAACAAAGGACTACTGTCACGAACGCTATATAAACTGTCATAAATAGTCCTTTATTTAGATCATTAGGAGATAAGTCTTTGCCAGTTTTGCCTAGGCCATCGCGGTCACCTTTTTTAATTACCTTAGTTTCCTTTCAATTATCAGTCAATTCTCTTTTCTTGGATAGAACACCCGTTAGCCATATGCTTCCTGTTTAGCGACATTCCACCGTTGAACGTCCTTCGTTTGCCACATGATAAGGAACGCCACTTTTAACTTTAGCCAGTCAGAGTTATGTTGTCATAGGAGAAAGAGGTGATCAGAGTTTATTAGTAGTCAGTCTTTACACGCAACTATCGGAGTACCGTTGGAGCATTGGAGTTACCTTTTCTTTTTTTTCAGCCTTTAACGCAGTACTGGACGTAAGTTCTACTCGTTTATATTTACCTTTTCGTTTTTCCTTTTACCACACCTTTGTAGATCTTGTAAATTTTAGCTCTCTTTTAATTATGTATTGTAATCTACTCTGTAGTTTTCACCGCATATGTATAATATTTGGGCAAGTCGACCTTAATAAACGCTGATCAAGTAAAGCCTGTCCAATTGTTCTACATCATGTGGTTGACGCTTGACGATCTCAACGCGCACCACATGCCAGCTACTTGGGTTCGTTACAACTWCATGCATGCATGACAAAAGTGTGACTTTTCACGCATCAGTAACGTTTGAAGAGTTTATGCAAATTCAAGGCATCACAACAACATGATTGTTATCAGTGCATGCTGTCTTGAAAGATTTCGTTCAATGGGATTCTCTTGGAAATAAGAGGAATGCATAAGGCAAACTCATGAGATTTCGCTGTTCAGAAGATCTTTTATGTGCTTGTCACAACCATAGTTGTACCGGTAATGTTTTACCGCATTGCAAACAGGGTAGAATTTACGAAGTTTGCTTCCATAGGCAACTTTCAAGTTTCCTTGATTGCCATTTGTTTAGAAACACAAAATATATTTTCTGCAAGGGCTTTTCGCCTGTAATACTAACTCTGCGAAAAGTTCTTAACGAAATTTACAACATCGTAGTGCACACGCAGTCTTTGCAGTTCAGTGTGCGATTTGAATGAAAGTTGTCTTCGCTCACATATCCAAAGACAACAGTTCTGAATGATAATGAATTTTGCATTCAGAAGCAAAAAGCGTTGAAACCCAGACTAACTACATGGTAGTTCGATTTTTCTACGTGGACTGTTTCCTCATGAGCTGCATTACATGGAGACGTTTTGTGATTGTCGCATGATCTGCCAGCAGACTGTTCAAGTGATCGAAGTGCTTATTTCCCATAGGTGTCATGAGTACGCGAGTGCGTTCGATATTATTTTCACAGTATAAGCAAACATAAATCCAGATCTGGTCTCAGCTGTTGGTAATATATCTCTTCCCACTGCAGTGACATATCTTATGGATAACATTGCGAGCAAATGCTGAGCATTTCGGACACCAACATGGCACTTATAAACAAACAGACTGTTTGACCTGCAACAACTTCTTGGGCCTTCTTGCGGCTTGCAGTAAGATTCATAAGTTCTTGCAGCTTCTTGCGGTTAGATTTTCAACTTCTTGCGATTAGACTTTCAACTTCTTGCGTTTCAAATGTTCTTGCGGGTAAACCGCAAAAACACGACATTTTTACTTCTTGCAGTGGTTTGCGTGTTCTTATGGCACAAGAACTTCTTGCGCCACTTCTTGCGCATGCATTATTTTTGGGCTGTACTGTAGAGTAAGCATATCCTTGTAATGTAAGATTCGCATGGTAAACAGTGTAAGTAGTAGATTAAAGCATTGTATTGTATTGTATCGTAAGTAGAGTAAGTACTAAGTGTCGTATTGTAAGTAGAGTAAGTACAATGTAAGTAGTTATGTGTTTTGCAATAAAAAGAAGGAAAAGAAAGGAAAAGAAAATGCCATGTGCTCAACCAAACGTAAATCAACCTTGTTGATAAATAATTACATTGACCTGTTTCTATCGCGAGTTGCTCATAGAGCACTTTGATTTTTTGTTAGACATTATTTTGCAGGCTGCTGTTTTCTGTAAAATATGTCTCAATTTTCCTGATTTCTACACCAAATGATCTGAATGGCCTCTTAATGCATTGCTAAGACACTGAAAGCACTGTAAATACAACTCTTCATTTTACCATCTTATTCAAGACACTAAGTTTGTACATGATTGTATGTTCCATACCTGCTTGCTCCATACAACATGTTATGGTATGCACCAGCTCAACTAAGAATGGATGTTACTCTAAATATACTGCTTAAGACACCTTCCAGAAAGCACTCTACATGGTCTACATTTTTATTACTAAAGAGGAGTGAGAAACAATTATGAATGTCACTTTAAACATGCTGGTTTAGTCATCTGGAAAAAGATCTGAGTGTGCAAATCAGAAACAACAGTTACTTGCATCATGTGCTTTTTCTCAAAGCAAGAGCAACCACAAATGGTACTCTTAATATACATGCCAATCTAGGAGTATGGATAATCACTTGGGTGGTCTTGTTAACCCTGTAAAAAGACACCAAAGAGGTTACTCAAACACAGTGTCAAAGTATGTATACACCGTTAGCTGTGCATGTGGTACACAATGTGGAGAACAAAAGAATTCACATCAGTTAACCAAGGGCCAAGTAATTCCATGTCAGGAACAAATGATGCATTTCAAACAACAAGGTCAAAAACCCCAACTGGCAGAAGGCAAACCAGTTGGCTATTTACAAGCTTGGCCAAGGAGTTGAACTTGAGTCTGCCTGAACTAATCAGCCATGCTGATTTATTTTGAGATAATTATGTGATGTTGGCTGCACAGTCCAGGAACTGTTACTGGACATAATGGCCTGCACTGTATGTGCCATTTGTAAACAACAAGGCATAGCATTTGTAGTATTGTAATCGGTAGAAATTGCCAATAGTGGGGCCTGTTAGGAATGCTGGGACACTGGGCTGGTCTCGGCTTAAGCTAGTTTATGTAGTTCTGCATGAAAGCATGGCAGTTGTCCATCACAGTTGTTTTAAAAGTTTGTTGTTTATCCATTAAAGCATTAGAAGTAAGAAATATTGTGCTTGTGTTAAAATGAGTGATGTCAAGTTATTTTACTCTGTTAAGTGCAGACACTCACCGTGATAACTATACATGAATAACTATTAATCAAGGTTTCTACAATATCTGCCCATATTTGTCAAAGGGTAAAGCCCAAGTTGTCCTAGGGACTACTACATGCCACTTTTGTAAATGACTGGATTAACTGATGTAACTTACTGGGCTGACATTAAAGGCCATTGAATCCATAACAACCAGTACAGCTGAGTACATGTATGCTTGGTGGGCTCTTACATGTAATTTTATGGGTGAAATTGCCGTTTGTTGACACAGTTCACTCAAAGCAACAAGTTAGAGTCTTTAGATACAGGCAACAGATGACGCAAAACTTAATGACAGTCCTGCATTACACTCTGCACTATATGAGATTTTCTCACTAGTTAACATTTAACCTATTTGCTCTTGATTTCTAGTGTGCCATTGTTGACAAGGGCGCACCCCAAGTCAACTATCACACGTATAAATCAAGAGCAAATATTCTAATTGTTTTAGTGTAAATCTACTAGTTGCTCAAAACTTTATCTAAATTCTCTTCACAGACACTTTGAGAGCAGAAAGAAATGGACACTAGTTTGTTAACAAGTGCTCACTGCTACAGTCATTACTCACTAGTTATTATAATAGATAGTGGGTAGAGTAGCCATTTAGAGCACGCCATTTGTGATAGAATAGTAGTAGATTAATACTAATATATTTTAGCAAATTAGTCTTGTGGGGCTGAGGGGGGCTCTTTTTACTACTGGATATAGTTAGATGTTTTCTGTTGCTCATTGTTGTGTTACTGTTGTTAGGTATGCGTATGTAGTACTGGAGGATCCTGTTATGAGCGATATTGTTACTTTTCTTGTTGTCTTCGTTTGTTCACCAAACTACATCTCAAATCCTTATCTTGTGGCAAAAATTGTCGAGGTTTGTATAACATTAATCAATTCAATACTTTTAAAAAAGACGTCCTGTATTTCAGGTGTGCTCTCACAACTTGACCACATTTTGAGTAGCTTAGCCCAGACATGTTATGCTCATGTTAGTTTGTTGAAAAACATTTCTGAACTAAGAAAGTCAAGTATGGGAAAAGGTTCATAAACTGACCCTTCAGAGTGTAATTACTTAAAAGCAATGTTGGACACATTAAGACACCCTGTACACAAAATTCAATATTTTTACATATTAAATTTTTGAATAAAAAATTATTCTCTACGACCTTTTCTCCTCCAGCCTTTCAAATTATTGTAACACGCAAATGATTCCTACACGTATACTGGTAATTATTTTTTAGAAGTAATTTAGTCATTAAAGACAGTGACATGCATCTAAAAATACGTCATGTTATGAATTGACTTACAATCCAGGGACGGGTTTTTCAAAGCACGATTAAGCTAATCCAGGATTGGCGTAATTTTTTATTTCAGTTTGTAACTTTTCAGTGAAGTTTTCTGTTTAAATGTTCTTCCTACAGTTTTGGCTTTGACTAATGTCAAACTCCAGGAAACATGGACAGTGAAAACACTTTAATTCAAGAGAAATTTGAACTCTGATTAACTTTTAATCCTGGATTAGTGTTAACCGGCTTTCGAACAACTGGACCCAGAAGTTTGGACCAGATGTATTGAGGATTCTTAACCTTTTACATGACACAGATTTAAGCTCTTTTGCCATCAGGAAATTTTAAGGTTTTTTAAAGCAGGTTGTTTGGTAATGAGCTAAAATGTAACCAATGATGTCAGTCAAGATTCCTCTGCACATGTTAACCCCTAGTTACAATAGGTAGAGTTTCCCTGCTCTTGAACTATTAAATGCTTGTTTTTTTACTGCATAGCTCTAGTCAAATATGTTGAAATTTCCTGCTAAGGCGTTCCTGAAAAAAAGACTTTGAGCAATAAATTATACAAGTTTAAGGCAAGGTAATAACACAGCACATAATAGCTGACCAAAAACAGTTAATGCATAAGAACTGTTGACCTTGATTCATAATCAGATAATAATATTGACTGTGTTCTGTTTTAGGTGCTGTTTGTTATGAATCCACACATTCAACCAGTGGCCTCGAAGATTCATGAGATGATACTCTCTCATCCGTTGGCCATGGGAAATTTAGCTCCAGCACTCATGAATTTTTACACAGGTACATTCTCTTGATTAAAATAGGTATGCAAATACAATAGAGTCCTGCCTTATGATATATCTGTCAACCCCCCACCTTGTAACCAGTTAGTTATTCTAAAAAACCCCTTTGATACAACTGTCTTGATTTTTTCTTGTGTTTACTCTACAGATGTAGAAACAACTGGTAGCTCAAATGAGTTTTATGACAAGTTCAGCATACGGTATCACATCTCTATTATAATGAAAAGTTTATGGGAAGACGTGAGCCACAGGCAGGCCATAATGAAGCAAAGCAGGTGAGCTTCCCCTAATGAAATTTGACTTGATGGTCTTAAGAGTGCAATACTTGGATAACTTATTTCAAAGTAATGTCATGGCTACAGTAGAGCCCAAAAATAATGCACGTGCAAGAACTTTTTGTGTCTGCAAGCCAGCAACTTCTTGCAGCTTCTTGTGGGTCGCTTATGCTTGGATCCTGCAAAATGCAAGAACTCCTTTGTGGTAGGATTTTAGAACAGTAAGAACTTCTTTGCGCTAACTTCGTAAAAAGACAGTACTCACCAAGGCACAAGGTATGGTTGAATTTATATTTTTCGAGCACTTACCCTAAGAAGTATTAAAGCAGCAAATTCTTAACTCCAATCAGATTAAACTCTAAGTTGATACTGAAGTTTTTTCCTCATGTGAACCACTGCTATGAGCGGCCAAACAGCTTATAACTGAATTTTTCCACGGCAAAGGACGAAATTAATAAAACTGCTCCTTTTGAAAACTTCTTAAATGACCTTATAATTATTATTTTTTCCTCCTCGCAAGATTTTAATGTTCTTGAACAAGTCGCAAATTTTTGTTTAAGGAGCCCGAGTGGGCACCTACACGTGGAGTTTTCATTCCCATCTAATCTGTCGGATGACTTATATCCAGTGTAACCAGGAATTACAAGCAATTCCTGATCGTAACTTTCTTCCACTGGCTGAAAAATCCCCATCGACAAGCACTCCAACCATTGCCGGTCATCGATCGTACATGGCTACCGCTTATTCTGACCAGCCACAATGTTTCTCATGAAATCAGTCATAAAATCAGTCTCACGACAAATTAAACTGAAAACAACAGTTGCCCTGGTCTTATTTTGCATGAGAAATATAGGCCAAATCACGGCAACAAAATCTCTCTCTGCTCACAAAACAGCCCTATAATGCATTGTGAACTCAGTATTGAATAAATCTACATCATGTATGCCAGTGGTTGTGTCTCTGTTAATAGCGGGCTCCACTATTAACATAGCATAGCCCCATCTCATTACGTGGATGCGAAGCAATCTGGATTAGAAATTAAGTCGTGTGTTTTTTTTTCTTCATGGTAGTCGCAAATTGCAACACAAATTGTTATTGGCTACACGTAATTACATTGTAGCCAATGGTAGTTCCTGCTGTTTTTTAGTCCAGATTCAAGGTTGGTTTTGTCGCAACATGGAAGGCTTCATGTGGTAAGCTTTGAGACTGTTTCACGAGATACACAAACCCTATGCGTGACAAGTTGTGAGTTTGAGGAATGAGCAGCAATGCCAAAATTTGTTGGACTGGGTTGAGTAATGGCGACGTAAAGACGTGCGTTGCTGCTGCCCGCCGATCTTTCTGCTCTGTTTTTGGTAAATGGCCGTTTTTTTCGGTCAGTTTTTGACCAAAAGAAAAACCATATCCTCAGACTCTTCCGACGAATCATCTCTTTCACCGGAAATCAAAAAAACGAAGCCATACTCCTCGCCAA